CACCCTCACACACGCTCACACACACACTCATACAGACGCTCACACACACTCACACGCACGCTCACACACACGGTAATGTAACTCTGAAACACACTCACACACACACTAATGTAACTCTGACACACTCACACACACGCTCATACAGACGCTCACACACACTCACACGCACGCTCACACACACACTAATGTAACTCTGACACACACGCTCATACAGACGCTCACACACACCCTCACACACACCCTCATACACACGCTCACACACACTCACACGCACGCTCACACACACGCTAATGTAACTCTGACACACACACGCTAATGTAACTCTGACACACACACGCTAATGTAACTCTGACACACTCACACACACGTTCACACACACGCTAATGTAACTGACACACACTCACGCACGCTCACACACACGCTAATGTAACTCTGACACACGCTCACACAGACACTCATACAGACGCTCACACACTCTCACACACGCTCACACACACCCTCATACACCCTCACACACACACTCACACAGACGCTCACACACCCTCAAACACGCTCACACACACCCTCATACACCCTCACACACACACTCATACAGACGCTCACACACTCACACACACCCACACACACTGACATACACAATCACTCACTCACACACAGCCTCATACACACACCCCCTCACACACACTCATACACACCCCCCCCCCTCACAGCCACCCGTTGGAGCTGAAGGCCCCTCTCAGCTGCCGGGTCTCCTCCTCGGTGAGCGGCCGCAGGGGCGACCGGCAGGCGCCGCCGTGGAAACCGAACCACTGCATGGCCTGCTTGAGGGCGGGAACTCCCAACTTCCTGGTCACCTAGCAACAAGACGCGCCGGTCAGCCCACATCCTCCGCAAACAACGCCCAAAAGACGAGAGACAAGACGCGGCCGCCGAAACATCTGCTGCCCATGCGACCCTCAGGTGTGTGTGTGTGTGAGTCTGTGTCTCTGTGTGTGTGTGTGTGTGTGTGTGTGTGTGTGAGTGGGTAGGCGGTGCTGGTTTGACGCAGTTAGGCCGGTGACATTTAGCCCACCTTAATGACTGTGTTTGCAGCCCCAGGCACACTCGGCTCCGGCTCAGAAACAGCTCGACGGGCACCTCTGACATTTCGCTCGGCGGTTTCGAACGCTCCACTCGAAGAAAAAGTTTCATTTTTTATAGCGCTAGCTAAAATAGTCCTACAGACAGATGCGCCGCCTGGAGCTGATCCCCAGAGATGTTCTTATCAATCTCAGACTAAAACATAATCTTATTTTTCTCTTTTTTGGGGATCTTATTTTCCCCAGACCAAACCAGGGTCTGCTGTTATCGTGCATGAGATGTGATGAATCCCTAAGACAAAAAAAGGTTTTTGGTTGGTTCAAATTGTCCTGAAATTAATTTTTTTCTCTTTTGGCTCTTTGTTAAGGATACCTGGTTGTTAGTTCCTTTAGGGAGAGTCGTCTCGCACGTCTGGCGACTGGGGTTTTGACACCAGTAGGAAATGCGACAATTTCCTTAATCCCATCAAGGATGTGTTAGAATTTGCCTATAATTACTCATTTTAGCATTGCGTGCTATCACATGATCTATGCAAATGACTGATTGTCATATTTCTTTTAGAACTATACTTTTGTGTTAAAGTCTCTTCTCTCACACACACCATTTGTTACCACATTCCAATGTCATCTGCATGAATTAGGACCTGGCCTGTTTATGCCCAGAGGTAACTAGCCAATAGGACTTGGTTATGTCCAGTCCTCCTTTGAAGAGATAATGCCCATCACACCCAGATCTCGGGGCTCTTTGAGACCCAGAGAGAGGTTTTTGTCTGTGATATACTTAACTGTGACCTAATACATGCCATTTTTATACTTTTGATCCACTCTGGTTTGTTCTCAGGCTTCCAACTAAAGAATTGGGCTAACAAATGACTCTCCCATTTCTGCATTTATCATTGAAATTCTCCTTTTGGTCCGTCCACACGGGGGCCCTTTCCTGACTCCTCTCCTGAGAATCCTTTTGGAGATTCTCCATGGCACTGCCAAGAGGACTGAGGAGTAAATCAGAATCTCTTTGTTTGTTGCTGATAACAAACACAGTGGCCTTTTCCCTTCCTTTATCCATACTAAATTATATCAGGCGAGGTTCCTTTAACCTGACTTTACAAGATCGATCTTCTCTAATTATTAAGAAAATTTGTCTCACTCATTTAAGGAATTTTTCCACAACAAAATTAAAGGAGAATTATTCCAGCCCACTAAGACTTTTCACCAGGACTTTTTCAGGCTCTTGGACAGTTTTGACCCTTATATTATGTTACGGGTCAATTTGACCCGTTTCAGTTTTTGTGTTGATCAAAGTGCTGGTTTTCCTTTCTTTTTATCTTCATGAAATTTGGTGACTTTTCCTCATCTGGGGTCATGAATGTATGTGTAAAATCTGGTCACTTTTGTCACGTCTGGGGGAGTTTCTGGTATCTCGTCATGTCTTGATTACCTATTGTGTACACCTGGGGTTCCCTTCCCTCATGTGTTCAAATAGTCCTTGTTTCCCATATCCTGTGCCAGTGTGTTTTGTGTCTCTTTTTCTTTCGTTCCTCGTCTTGTCCACGTCACGTAAGATTTTGATTTTTGCACTTTGTCACAGCCTTTTTTTTTGCCATAGTCTTGTTTACTTTATTTAGTACTTTTGCCATAGTCTTGTTTATTTTATTTAGTACTTTTGCCATAGTCTTGTTTACTTTATTTGATACTTTGCCATAGTCTTTTTTACCTGATTTGATCTTTTGTTCACAGCCATGTTAATCTTGCTTTGATACTTTGTTCATATTTTTGTCTGCCTTGTTTTGAAACTTGTCTGGTCAACCACTCCTTTTGAGTGCGTTTTTTGTTAAATAAATCCTGTTTTCACCCTGACCTCCGCAACTGAGTCCTCCCTGAGACCCACCCACCTGACAACTTTGACGTGAAGTGAGGGGTCCGTGCAGGGTATGTATACAAAGAGGATGTTGCGGGTCATTTTGACCCGGACACATTATTGTGGGTAAGTAGCTGTTTGAATCCAAAGTAAACACGTCTCTTCAGTGTAGTTGTGCTTCATGGGGGGGGGGACTCACGGCGGCGTTGGGCTCGATGAGGCGCTGCTGCAGGGCGCGGGCCTCCTCCCAGCGTCCGGCCACGCACAGACGCTCCAGCTCACACAGCTCCGGACCCAGCACGTTAGCCAGCGCGCACACGCCCCCCACCGCACCTGCAAACACCACAACGCTCGGTGAGGTGTTCAAGAACCAGCCTAAACGGCACGACTTTTCCTTTTCGAATCGGAAAAAGGTTCATAATCGGTCATTTTAACTTTCGGTTGAATCAGAAATACCTTAATAATCCCAGAGGGAAATTATTTTTGTTACTAACTCCAGAAATACAGATATGCAGCTGTATTTACATATTTACATGTATATATACATATACAGTGGGGGAAATAAGTATTTGACCCATTGCTGATTTTGCAGGTTTGCCCACTTACAAAGAATGCTTGTTAACAATTTTTATAAATTCATATGATGTGATTTTCTGGAATTTTCTTTGGGATTCTGTCTTTCACTGTTAGCATGTACATATGATTAAAGTTATAGATCGTTGCAGTCTTTGTAAGTGGGAAAACCTGCAAAATCAGCAAGGGGTCAAATACTCATTTCCCCCACTGTGTGTGTATATATATATATGTACATACAAAATTGCACACAAAATATAAATAAATATATACATAAGTGACTATCTGTTTAGCTTTTGTTACCATCCATTTAATTTTAAGGTATGAATCTCCCAGTTGTCAGTTCCTATTTTCTGTTGAGCAAGAATCCCAAACTAAAAAGAAGATTTCCAGTGGAAACCGCCACAGCTTTTCACAGCTTTTTTCGGCTTTTCACAGCTTTTTCTCATAAACGTTTGCCGGCTATCGCGTTTTCAGGGGCCAGGAGGAGACAATTGTTGTAAAAAAAAAACTTTGGAAAATAGGGGCAGGTGATGAGGAAATTGCTTCCCAGCTTTCCGACTGCTTCCCAGCCACAGTCTGATGTGCTAGCACATATTTGTTTGTTTGCCCCCCGCCGCCCCGGGGAGCGTTCCTGTCCTTTTGTGGACGGGGCCTGCTTCTGCAGAGCTCCGAATTGTTTGTTTTGGTCATATTTTAAGCTTTTTCAAACTGTGTCGTCATCACGTTTCTATCAGGGTACAAACAGGAACAGGTACAAACTGTCTGGAAATACAAAATGTTGGAGGACAACTTGTGCTAACCATGCCACAACACTGGCCCCTCCCACCTCAGGGGGGCGTCGCCCGTGGGACGGAACTCTCCAGAACTCTCCAGAACTCTCCAGAACCAGGGCCTCCTTTCGAAAGAGGTAGAATTTTTATCTTCTTTTGGGTTTTATTAACAGTTCTGTTTAATATCGCCTGTGTCTTGAAAATAGCACACAGCAGCTGCTTGAAAAAGGCCGAGCCAGAAAGAGGTTTTTTTAAAAAAATTTAAAAACTGCTCAGAGAAGCACACGTGGGAACGTTCGGACGGCTGAAACGGGAGGAATCGGATTGATGCGGCTCTGGGAAGGTGAACCTGACGGGTTTTGAAAAGAAAAGCTGAGGTGGGCCTCCGGTGAGCGCTAATGGGCCACAACTCCCCAGACGCCTTCAAGAGCAGACCAATGAACCGAAAAGAGACAAGCCAAAAGGTCAGAACAAACCAAGACCACCTCCTTTAGCTTTGGGACCTTTTTGAAACAACTCTGTATAAATTGGACCAGTAGGAAATTGAATTAATTGGATTTGATTGTATTAAAGTATAGTTTTTTTTACTTGAATTATTGGATTATAGTTGAATGGAATTGAATGGTAAGGGATTTATTTGAATTGGCACTTAACCCAGCTTCTTCCGCCATATCTCCCTTTTCAATATCAGCCTAAAATGGTGAAACATAAGCTTTCAAAAGATGAGCGTAGTGCAACAGTGAAAAGCCCAGAGCGTTCTGCTCCCATATCAGTTCCTCTGACGGCCAGTGAAGGCAGCACTCCTCAGAAAAGCCGGAAAAAAGGATAATTATGCAGGTTGTTCTGGGGATATATCCGACTTCCAGAGCTCAAACACACTCTCAGCATGGACCCACGATCATATATTTGTCAGTTTGGGCTCCTTTTGCGTATCGGTCAGCGCACGGGCGGTCAGGACACCCACAAAATCTAGAGTCCTGCCCAATTTACAAATCACATTTGATGCTCAAGTCTTGTAAATTTAGAACTTATTGTACAGCTGATGGTTCCTTTGTTTTTTTTACTGAGACACTTTCCTTCCTGCACGGGACACATAATCCATCAAAACCACGCTGTCCGGTCGGTGGGGTCCACTCAGGGGCCAAGAATCCCACCAAAGAGAGAACGAGGACTTTTTCGAGAGGACAAATATCTGTTTTATATCTAGCAATCAGAGCTCCGAGTAGAGGGGGAAATGCTAACTGTCCCTTTTACGATTCACGACAAGACATAGGTTTTTTGTTTTTTTTAAAGATTCTTTACACTTCGGACTTGTCACAGCGGTGTTATTTAGCTGGGTTTTTTTGTCCTGTCTTCATGTGGTATCGTCACTTCCTGTTTTATTTTGATAAGTAACCCTCATCTGGTTTCAGGTCACTCACACTTCCTGGTGTGTCTGTCCAATTATCTTCCCGATCACCTCTTGTGTTCCCCTGGGGTTCTCTTTCCCTTATGTGTTAAATAGTTTGTGTTTCCCCTTGTCTGGGGCCAGTGGGTTTCGTCTCTTGACCCTTGCTCAGCATCAACCTTTTCCTCGAACCAAAACCTTGCCTAGCTTCTTGTTAAACCTCGAAAGAGTGATTTTGTTTTCTGATTCTCCTAGTTTTGTCCGACTCTCGTGAGTATTATTTTGTGACTTTTTGCCATCCTCGTCTTTTTGAGTGATTCTGATTTGATACTTTTCAGATAACTTCCTCATTGAGCGATATTAGTTTCCACTCTTTGAGAGCGTGCCCTGAGTTGAATAAACCTTTTGAACTATATCTCCGCATCTAAATCCTGTGATAAGTGGCAGCAACATTTTGGGGGCTTCTTACCGACACAATAGGCGGCCATCAGGAACCCGGCCGAGCCCGCTAACACCTGGAAATCCTGCGTCTTGGTTTTGTGGACGATCAGCCCGATCCGTGTGATCTGAGGAGGAAAAAAAAACACAAAAAAAACAGGGAGAGGTCAAAACCAAGAAGTGTTTCATCATCATCCGCGCCGCTTCCTGCCGCCGGCACTAACATCTAATGGAGGGTGTTAATCCCGGGGAGGCTGCCACTGGAGACAGCATCTCCCAGAGTAAACAAACGGCTCAAAAAATAAAAAAACTCAGCGAGCGGGAGGTTTTTCTAAAGGAGGGGACCATTCGAGAAGCAAACAGAAGAGGGGAGGACGAGAAAACGGAGAAACGGAAAGAGTCCCAAGTGAGAAGAAAAGGAGGAATCTACTTCAAAAGAGGAGAGGGAGTGTGGGAGAAGCTTGTGAATAACATCTCTTGAACATCAACCCCCCCCCTGTTTTGTTCTGCCTCCGTTAATTCTCTTTTGTCAATCCAAACGCGAAAAGCACGGAATCCGAACATCAACCCGGAAACCTTCAAAGACGGCCCAAAAAAAAAGCAGATATCCGCAGATATTTTCCCTCCCCCTTGGGGTAAAAAAAACCCCTCCGAAGCCCTTCTTCTGCCACCAGCCGCGCCGCCGAGAAGGGCTCTATTTTAATCAGCGCCTGTCAATCATCTCAAAGCCACAGAACTGTAATTGATCAATCAGTCAATCAGGTTATGGAAGCTCACGCTGGTCCCCTGAAAGCTTAAGCACTCGGGCTATTAAGGCCCAGCTCCCCGGTGGGAAAATTAAGGCTGCACTAAGACTAACGGTTTCCCCGGGTGACAGAAACACTCATTAGCTTTTTTTTTTTTTTTTTTCTCCACGCCGCATTGTGCCGCTCTTCGTATTATCATGTAGATCCAGAAGAATCATCCCATGCATGCGGGTTTTTCTATCTATTGTCGCAACACAGATTATTAGAAAATGTACAGCACAACAATAACTCCACCTGCAGGTTTACAGGGAATCTTTAAGGACACGGAGAAGAGCAGAGGAGACACCAGCTCTCAGAGAATAGCGAGCAGCTTGTTATTTAGGATTATCACTTAACAAAAAACAGAAAACTCACCAAATTAGCATTTGCGGCCTTCCTTTTTTTTTTTTTCCATATTCTGCTGCGTGGATCCAAATATAATAAGATTAAAAAGTTGTACTAAATTATAGATTTTTTTATTTCTTTATTCTTGTTTTTTATTTGTTTTTTTTAACTGTTTCTTTTGTGTTTTTTTTATTTATTTATTTATTTATTTATTTATGCATTTTTATTTATTTAAATTAAAAGAAAAACTGATTTTATGTAAAGCACTTTGAATTGGCCTTTTGCTGAAATGTGCTATACAAATAAAGCTGCCTTGCCTTGCATAGAAATGATCAAGATCATATGTCAGAGACGATTGACCCAAAATGGTGGTCAAAAGTTTATTATCAGCACTTTTTCTTCAGATCGTAGGTGCTGATTTGGGACTCGTGTCCTTATCTGGAGTGCAGTGTGGTGTGTGTGTTTTGTGGCTTGAGTGTTGTGTTGTGCAGCTCTCCCGGGGTTGATTTATTTTTTATTTATTAATGTGCGTCAGTCCTCACCAGGATGATCTTTCTGTCTGCTCTTGTTTGTACACCGACACAGGGTGCGGCTTGTTTAACTCCGTTCAAATGTGCAGTGTCATTTTTAGTTCCGTTCTTTGCTTGGTCAAGGAACTCTACCAAAGTTTAACAAATGTATAATATGTGGACATGTCCAGGGGAGTTATTTGGCCTCAAACCAAAGCAAAAGTCCTGCACTACAGATTTAATTATTTATAAAGTTATTACCATACGATGGCACGTATTCTTTTATATTATCTTAAATTATTTTGGTCCTAATTACCTACGTTTTATCTGTTATTAAACCACTATGCCCAATACTATTGTTATCATGATTTAGCACATTATTATCATGATTTACCTCATTATTACTAGGCGGTTATGCACTAAGATGGCGGTTTTGTGGTTTTTGTGTAGAGAAAGTGTGTGCAGCAAAGTCAGTTGCATCTTCATCACAAATATTATTTTACATATTTTATATTTTAACGATAATGGATGGATGCATATTTTACATTCTAATGTTGTATATAATTTGTATTTTATATATTTTATATATTATTTTATATTTTTATTTTTTATATAGATTTATATATTTATTTAAACATTTAATATATATATATATATATATATATATATATATATGTTTTTTTTCTTTCTTTTTAAAAAAAAATTAAATTTGGCCTCTTATTTCAACCTAAAAAAAAAACTAAATAAAACAAATACTAAACCCTGAGCGTTACACTTTTTTTTTTTTGGCCCAAATTTAGATCCACAACCAACAGTGTAAAGCACACATGTAACATGTTTCTCTCGATACAAATACTCCTGAAATCCAAGCTCAAAACGGCCTTCATAAAAACCAGTTAAACAGCGTTTTCTGTGAAGTCGTGAAGCGGATTTTGGCTGATGAGAGGCAACCGCTGCCTTCATCTTCTGAGCAATCTTTGCACAAGCAAACTGACCCGTAATCCCTTGTTTTTCTGTTTGTCCTCATCACGCCCACATCTGAGCACAGCCGCTCCGCACTTGAACTCCACCCACACGCCTGTCTCCCAGCAAGTGGACAAACATGTTATTTCCCAAATCAGAAATCCATTTACAACTTCTTGCAAACACTTCCCACACAGACCGAAAGGTATTAAGAGCCCGACAAAAGCACCGTCCTTTTCTTTTTTCCTCCAGCTCTGCAATCAGCCCTCCCGGTCCAACGAGCCTCTTCAGTATTTTTAGTATTTTCTCATCAGTCTGTGCAGCCGGTCAATACTTAAAGAAACACTTTTTTT